CCTGGGATTAAACAGATGCTCTACTTCTTGAAGATAGTCGACCCAGCAGTCAAAAAGGCGGATGTTAGGACAGTAATGCAGAGGTGTGAGGCATGCCAGTTAATTGTCCCAGCACCGGTGCAATGGCAAAAAGGAAATTTGAGTACTACCCATGTTTGGAACAGGCTGGGGATAGATGTTACGCATGTTGACTATTATTGACTGTGGACCCTCTCGCTTTACCATTTGGCGACTACTGCACCAGCAGGACACTGCCAGCATAATACGTCAATTGGAGTCCATCTTTTACGACCGGTGACCACCTGCAGAAATATTGACAGATAATGGTGCGGCGTTTTCTTCAAAGCAATTCTCGCAGTTCTTAAGGAAGTGGGGTGTGCAGCTTCAGTTTCGGTGTGCCTACGTGTTGGCAGGAAACAGCATAGTAGAAAGGAGCCACCAGTCTATAAAAGTGATTGCAGCCAGGAAGCGATGTTCGATCACCAAAGCAGTCTATTGGTATAATGCGATGCCTAAAGATGGTGTTTAGCCTACAATGTCACCGGCTAATACGGTAAACACCTATCACTTACGGCTACGAGGCATTGACATCGCAATGGCTCCGAGCAACGCGCAAGCAAAATTCAGAATTGGTGACGTAGTGTGGGTTAAGACCCAGCACAGCAAATGTACGGACAAGCTTAGAATGGGGCATGTTACTGAGATTATCAGCCTGCACTCAGTGCGGGTTGATGGCGTGCCTCGTCATGTTAAAGACTTGCAGCCAGTTGTAAAGTTAAAATCGTCATCAGATGATGAAAGTGACTCTGAAGATTGTGCGTGAGTGGTGTATTTAAAGTCGGATCCACTGAGTTTTACCTCAAACATCAGTACTCTATCTGCGGACATCAGCGTGGCCAGCTGTCCAGAGGCGAATGGCAGCTCAACGGATGAGAGTTCATCTGATGATGAGGACCCTGTCATCCCACTCAGACGAAGTGCCCAGCAGAAGAGGCCTGCCCTGAGTTGCAAGGTGTGCAATCATGACAGTGAAAAACGGGATGAATCTGGAAATCTGCCACCTTGGAGCAAATGAGTTCACGCATGTGTGGTTATCCCAGTATGTCAAGCAGGCAAGTTGTATATATGCGGATGCAGTCACCAGATAAACGTGACCATCTCTCGAACTGAGAAACTTTGTGATCTTAAGATCAGGGAGGCGTGTAATGAATTGGTCGGTCAGCTTGACACCTCCAAAGCAAATGGAGGTGGGCAGGCATGGGAACTGTGATTGGTAGCTGGCTTGTTGGTGTTTTGCATAGGCAAGTTACCAAACTCTATGTAAAGGGCTGGAATGAGAAGGAGGGCAGTTTTTTGTCTCAGAAGTGGAGACTGTGTCCATTGCTATGGCAGCAGGAGAGAAATAGACAAAATCATTTAATTTTTCGTGACGATATTCAGTCAACCCCCACCTCCCCCACGAGGGTGTCATGTGGCACAAGGCCTTTTTAACGTGGGCTTTCGTGACACATTCCAACACACTCATTTCTGGAATGATCATTTACTAGCCAAATTCTGACTTATGAACATTTCTCTTAATAATAATTTTAAAATAATTCAGCAAACGATGTTATTTTATTTATAGTATCCGGATTTTTGATGATTATCTTAGTTTCTGTCATTTGATACTGTGCATCTGAAAAATGGCGTTTTTTATCATGGTTGCCATGACTTCTTGGACTTTCAGCTCACCTTGCATGTTAGTATTTAGAGCATAAATGATGAGCTACAGGTAGTATAAAGTGGTAGGCAGTGGATGAAAACAGACAGACAAAAGAAATATTGTTCATGTGGATGGGTTGAATGAGAGAATAGTTTCATTTTTTCTAGACTTTGCACGACAAGCCTCCCTCCTTTTTTTTCTGGCCTTGTGCCGAATTGATGTATATTTGTCAATAAATATTAAGATCAAAGTGTAGTATCTGTTCTTATAAGCTTGATCTAATTCTCTCTTCACTTCTATCTTCCCTTTCTTTCTTTCCTTTTCTCACTGAAACCAAGTAGTGTTTTTCCTACCTTTCCATGTTATCAAAATGAAATAGTCCATTATTTATGATATATTGGCAGGGCATAAGAGTCATGTGAACTAACAAAAGGAGGAGCAAGCACAATTAAAATAGGATTTTCCAGAAGAATCAGTGGCCAATGTTTGAGTACTGTTAAAATTCTGAATTTTAAATGTTAATTTTCAACTCACTCAAGCCCACCACAACTTGGAAGGGATAATCTTGCTACTCCATATTTTCTTCATTTATCAAACTAATTCATTACGTTTTCATCAATTCAGATTCTGAGGTGATCTAAGCTATCACACATTTTAAGAAAAGAAGTTTATTTCATAAAAAAATCATCAGATACTTCATTGACTTATGATCTTGTGTTTGTACTCCTGTTACTCTTCCTCTTCAAAAAAAAAAGGAGAGATTATCAAATTTTATGGCATAAAAATGATATTATTTTCATGTAATACAAACAAAAGAATACATTTGGACATTTGAACCGATTTCTAAAAAGAAATGAAAGAGGAAAATTTATCTTATGTGTATTTCTAGATTTGGACAAGTTAAAGATCTTTTGTATTTGAATAAAGGATTATGACTGCGCTTCTTAAACTCTAAGCTGCTTAAATTTCATATACTCTGTGCTGCAATTGTAAACTTTGATGGAGTTTGTTGAATTGAAAAGAAAGGAAAAGAATATTAATCTGTTTGTTAATGATTGTTTTCTATTTAAAGTAACAACATATGCACATAGTCATGAAAACATACACACACACACACACACATACATATATGGTGGACTCTCCTGTCATATTTGACATATGAGGGTCAAGCAGCTCAGTTCCTGGGAACTGTCAGCCCAGACACCAGCACATATGATTTGATTATAGTGGTGAAGGCTTTGTGCAGAACCAACCACACTTTTTGAATGGACGAATACAGAGACTTGGTGCACTATATGCCACAAGGCCGCCAAACGACCCTTTGCAGGTTTTGAATTCAGAGTTGTCCTTCTCCTAGACCAGTTGCCATCCAATGCTATAGAAGCTAGTCTGTCCTGCTATTTACTCACAGCTGGAGGGAGAAAAAGAGGATTAATACTTCCCAAGAGTATTAGCGCATAAGTGAATGTAATGGATTTGATTGGAATTCGAACTCAGCTCTCCAATTCCTTAATCTAAGCTGCTATGCACTACTCCACTGTGCTCTCTCTCTCTCTCTATATATATATATATATATATATATATATATATATATATATATAATTATTTTTATTTAAAAATATGATTCCAAAACGCGACATAAGAAGTCTCATGTTTCAAAAACAAGAGCCAAAACTTCAATATAATTATTTAAATTGAGTTAAAATAAGCTCTGTTCCATCTTCAAGATATATATGATATAAAATAAAGTATGACAAAATGGGAAAAGTTTTCGAGTGATGCGTTTTGTTCTTTAGGACTTCATCAGACTAAATTTATGTTTACATTGATGTGACTACACATGTGCATGAATGAAAGAGAGACACTGAAAATTTTAAATTCAAAAATGTTTTTTCTTTTTTATGTTTTGGGTATATAATTTAGCCATTTTCATTTAGATTCCTTTTCTTTTTCTTTGTTTCCATCACTTTTGTTATTAAATAACCCACCCTGTGATAATAGAAGATCTGCCATGAATGAAACATAGAACCTGGATGCAAATTTATTGTGGATGATCTAGTGATTAAAGCACGTTTCTAAACATTTTTGTCTTGGTAAATTAGTTCTTTAATACATTAAAGCTTATTTATCCTAATAAGTGTTTCTTACTTTCATTACACTTTGCTTTTTTTTTTTACTTGTTTTTTTTTTTTTTCATGTTTTGGCTTGTCAACTCTCTTTTATTGTTAAACTTGCTGAGTTCTGCTAATTATCAACTAATTTGTAGTCTATTTCCTGTTGTCTAATTTTGCTGATATATTCAATCCGACTGAGTTCTGTTTTGATAAGCGTACCAAATCAGTAAACTTTTGGCTCACATACTTATTTTTCTTTACTTCTATTATTTTCTGTAGTTTTATATCTACCACTGTAAACTTGCTCCTGATTTTGGTGTTTTTATTTTTATTTTATCCCTTTTTTATTTCCTGAATGTGAGCTTTATTTTTTTTTTTTTTTTTTTTATTCAGAATCACCCCAAGCAAGGCAGTAATGCCACTAAAACACAAGGGGTTACAGGGTGTAGAAGAATTAGGAACAGAAACATTAATGATGAACAGAAAGAGAAGAGAATAATCAGGTGGACAGCAGAAAATGATTGACATTGCATTTACATTTTTGCAGATTAAAGTTGGCTGGAAAGTAAGGAGCCAGATGGGAGTTCCACAAGCAAGAAGAAACTGTTAGTATAGAATTTATGGCTACATCTAGCCAGCTCAACTGTAAATTGATGAGATCTCAATGCCAATCTAGTACTGTGCTTAAATAATAAAAAAAAAAACTAGGTACCATAGCGAAGAACTCGTTTAAACAATTAAAGTTAAAGTATTTATAGAAAAGACATAGAGAGGCAACCTTAGAGCAGTGGAAGAATACCTGGAGCTGACCTGCCAGATCAGGACCAATAATATTGCTTATTTTTCTTTGGATCTTATCAAAGAGCCCAAGATAAGTAGCAGGGACACTGGACCATATGTGGCAGCAATATTCTAAGCATGGATTTATTTATTTAGTTCTTTTATATTCTGTGGATAGTATTAAGTTATGGCAAATCAGAAGTGACTCAGTGTTTTAGAATTCTACTCTTCAGTTATGACTATTGTGATCATTTTAGTAAGGCTTACAAATGAGTTAATCTTTCAACTGGACAAGGGATTTTAGAAAATAATTTTAAAAATTACTCTTATGTTTACAATGCTTTCATGAAATGTCTCTTCTTATTTGTATTGATACACTTTCTTTTATATCTTATTTTCTAAAGGCATGGAGTTCTCCCTATGTGTCTCCACGGTTGAACAGGTCAAAGATATTGAATCCATCTGATCCAAGAGAAGAAATGTGCCTTCCTACCATCAGGTACCCAAGTGACCACAACCTGGTGGACTTTGGTTATCAGCCATCCTTTTCATTCAATCGGACAAGACTTTCCTCCCAGCTTTCTCCCTATGCCTCTTCCAGACAAATGTTCAACAACAGACATTCAGAATATCATTCTGTGGACAATTCAGATGAAATGCCTGCCAGTTTGTTCCAGTCAGCTACACCTTATTATCCCTCAAACATTGAAAATAATATTGAACTGAATACATTTGAGCCTCCCTCATTTGCCAAACACCTTTCACGTTCACCAGGATCATCAAAAACAAGCCCCATAGATGATGAAATTGATGCCATTCACAAGAACATAAAGCAGGAGTCTTCTCCACAACCACTCATCCAGTCAATACGAGAAGAACTAATGAGACTATCCAATGAGAAAGGAGAAAGAAATTCTCTCCGATCTAGGATTGTTCTTGATTGAATTACTTAAAATACTGAATCCTTTTATCTAATCAACAACTGTTCTTCTCAGCTGGCATTTCAGAGTATTTTTTTCAACCAACCATCTTGATTTGTTTTTTATATGTTTGCATATTTTATCTCTTTAACAGTAAAGATTTTATGAACTAACTTTTGTTATCTAAGATTTCTAAAATTGAACACAACTTAGCAAGTATTATATATGATTTTCATGAATGGTTATCTTTATCTTTGTTGTTTATGATTTCTTATTTCAGCATTGTGTTCTCCAGTCATCATCAGGTGACATTGGGATAGGAATTTTTTGTAATCTAGGAAAGGTTACTGAATAGAATAATCAAACGAAGGTTGGTAATGAACAATAATACTTACGACATGAACAATACATATAAGATTCACCAGCAGTGCGTAGAAGAAGTAGTCAACTGCTAGAAGTGTGTCAAGTGAATTCCACAATGAATCTCCAACTGCAGACCAACATACAGTATTTACTACTGTATTTATGTGAATGGGGACATATCCATTATTGTCTGTAGGTATGCGACAACAGAAAGAGGACTCTTAAAGATCATTGACTGGAGAACACACAAATAGAAGCAAAAACAACCAAAATAGTCTTAATAAGTTTACAAAATATAAGGACTTTTAACCTACCTAAACTCTTTCATGTGGTTATGTACCTTTTAATTTTTCATATGTCCTCTCACATTCAATCCCCCCCCCACAAAATACATAACTCATAAATTCTTCTACAGTTTATAACTTCATTGTTCTTTATTAATTTTCATTTTTTTCTTTTTTTATCTTGATTGTTGTTTTTATAGGTTGTTTTACATTCTATGATTATTTAGTAAGAAACATGAAAATAATAAAATAAAAGAATTAGCCTCTGACAAGATTTGAACTAACATGCAGAGGCTACCTTATTTCCGATTCATTTTGTTTGCTTAATTATTGTAGGATATAATCTGAATTGAGTATTGTGATAAAAAGCAACAGTAGAGATAATATTAGTACGGAAAATGTTTCCTGTAAAAGAAATAAAATACTATCCCATATTTTTAATACTGAATTTTGGAAGACACAATTTTTTAATCATTTCACCCTAAGCAAAGCAATATAGCCACCAAAGATGCCTCTAACTCTGTAACCATCTACCTCGAGTGGCTCCTGGGCCTTATACAGAGTGAAACACACTGTAAAATATACCCCCCACACACAATGCCTTTTATTGATATATATATATATATATATGGCTTAGACAGGCACAGATCAGACTATAATATATACAAAGTTTGATCAGAAAGTATGAATCCTTGAATATCTTGAGAAATGGTTGCAAAGATTTGATGCAAATTGGCAACTACTCAGAGAGGACCATACTGCACATGCATGAACATGTGCTTTCCTATGAGTTATTCAATCAATAATGTGATACCCTTGAATGAGTTTATTTACTGAGTGATCATTATACATTATATTTACAGCATTATATTTTACTTGAAGCTTGGATATTCATCTGTAGAAAGTATTTGTATGGTTAAGAGCTTTTAGATGATTCAACATTTGAAGCCCAGATGAAATTTGGATACCAATATTTCAAATTTGACCAGAAATCTACTGAAGGAAATAATAACTAATGTTATAATAAATAGATAATAAATAATAATAGATATAATAGTAAAGGAAAATGATATATAATTTTTTATATATCAGGAACAATAGAAAGTGCTTTACTCACTAAATCATCTGCGGTAAATTTATGTTGAGTGTCTAACAACATTTTACTTTTTTTATTATTACAATGTGGGATATTTAATAACAAAGTGATGGAAGCATGAACAAAAAGAAAAAAAAAAAAAATGAAATTCGCTAGACTAAAAAAAATTGTTTAAATATGTTTTTGGTATACCAAAAACATATTTAAACAATTTTTTTTTAATTTAAATTTAAAATTCTCAATGTCCCCTCTCCTTCATGCACATGTGTAGTTGCATCAACATAAACATCACTTTTGCCTTTGAGGAAGTCCTAAAGAACTTTGTTATAATTTTTCCTAAAATATAAAAGTAAAATAAATATAATGAATAATAAATGTGTTATATTAAAAATAATAATTAACGGATAAAGAAAATTTCTAACTTCTAGCTCTAACTTCTAGTTTCACAGATAGGTTTTTCTTGATTTATTTTTATATAGACTGCTTGTCAGGATCAGATAAATCTATCTGCAAAACTTGACATCAAACAGATAAGTCTTTTGATTTTTTCTTTATCTTTTAACTATGTTTTAATATTGAGCACTTTGTTTATAAAAATCTGACTTAACCAGCACTAATTTATAGGACTATGTGTTTTGCTAGGCATTAATGATCTGTGTTATTATTATTAAATATAATAGATAATAAATAATAGATAATGTGATGCCATTGAATGAGTTTATGTATTGTGTGACCATCTATTAGTATAGAACTTATGATTACAATTAGCAATTTCAACAATGAAATGATGAGACCTAACTGCTAAGCTAGTACTGTGGTTAAATTTGTGAAGTTGAGGTGCCAATAAGGAAAGCTCATCAAAACAATTACCATGAAAATATTTATAGAAAAAGCAAAGGGAAGCTGTTACAGTGGTGGGAAAGGGACTGAAGCTGAGATACCAGGTCAGAACTGATAATGTTGCCAATTCTTCTTTGCATTTCATTGTCAAAAATTTCTAGATATAAAGCAGAAGCACTGGACCAGATGTAGTTGCAATATTCAATTCACAGATTAATGATAGTCTTTTAAATATGCAAGATAGTCTGGCAAGAAAAATTATCTAGAACACCATTATGAACAGATTTATGTACTCCTATTAATAATTTTTTTACAAAAAATATAACACATTTCAGGAAACTAGCTAAAATATTCCTACATCTGAAAACTGACTGTTGCTCAGCTTGAAACAAAATGTTTACTATCATTACAATGTTTTACATTGGAATGCAATAAATTTTAGCAAAAATCTTTTTTCTAACTTCACGAAAATATTTATTCAAATCAGGATAGAATACCATTGTAACACAATGGTTTTTTTGTTTTTACTTGAAACCATTTAAAATAGTGATTACATTGCCATCTCTTGAATAATAGAAAAAGTTAATGTTGTTTTGGCTTGATTTGACCTTGCAAAAAATACAGATGTGATTTCAACAAAAATATTCCATAAATGCATTAAATCAAATACAGTACGAAAAGAATATGGTAATGTTATAGTTTTTTTGTTTTGTTTTTAATACGACATGAGTAGTCAAAATATGATGGCTGTTTTAATTTAATTATAAAAGTATTAATCAGAATTCCTTTTTATTAATTTTCTTTTTTTAACCTATAAGCCATAAAGTATCCAAAAACCCAAGATAAATGTCTGGCTCATTTCTTGCTCATTTGGACACATGCAGAAAGCAAAGAGTGTTATAGAATTTTTGTTTCTGAAAGGAATAAAATGCTGCAAACATTCACAGAAGGTTAGTAAATGTTTAGGGAAAGGCTGCACTTGATACAAACATAGGAAAAGATGGGTCAGTAGAATTAATAGCAATCCTAGAGAGAAAGAAGAAACTAACTTTAGTAACAGGTTTTGCTGTAGCAAACAAGCTGCTGCTGAGAATATGAATACGGTCAAACAGGCTGATACACTTATTTAGCTGACAGAAGCCTTCAGATGATTCATGGTAGCATCTGCATTTTACTGCAGTCTCTTGGCCTTTCTAAGATCTGTGCAAAGTGGGTTCCCAGAATACTGACAGACTCCATGAAGAAGCAGAAGATGGGATCTTCTGTAGCTGCACCAAAAACCTTCCATGAAAGAAGCATCAGATGATAGTGGTTCTCCAGTGAAAATAAAGTAAGAGAGGCAACTCTCAAATAGCTAAGAATGCAGCCAAGAAGCATTTATGTAGCATGTGTACATGTCTTCATTCACAGGTGGATACCACAATTGAGAAGGAAGGAGACTATAATGAAGTCTAGATTCCAAAGCCTGGGATTGACTTTTGTGCTCATTTTGGTATGGTTTGTGCTTACATTATTAAATCTGTTGTAATTAACACATTCACTGCCATCCATGAGATATCTCATGATTAGCAGTTTTTATTATGATGCTGACTACAAGTTATCTTGCACCAACATCGAGTTTATTTGCAGTCATACTTTTAGTGAGAAAACAACATTAAGACTTCTGTTGAAGCTATAAATCAACATATAAACATTTTTTTTCATCACCTAATTTGGCTATAATAAAGTTAGCATTTGAAGTCAGATTTCGTAATTGACCTCTGACAGTGTGTTAAAGGACAGACATTATTTTTTGACCAACACACACACACACACACATATATATATATATATATATATATATGATAGGATATGCTAACCTGGATCATTACTAATTGCAATACATTTTATGTCTATTATTCACAGTTAGTAATTTGCCTTTTTATATTTTAAGTGTAGAGTTGTTTTTAGTTTTTTTCGTCTCATTCTGTTCATGTCTATCTTTCAGTCTGCCTGCTTGCCTGAATTTGTCCATGTCTGTCTTTCAGTATGCTTCCTTGTTTGACTATCTCAATCTGTCCATGTTCTATGTTTTCCAGTCTGTGTCTCAACCAGCCTGCCTACATCATTTTGTCTCTGTCTATATTAATGTTAATGTGGTTTTTCACACATCACTTTTGAAACACATTACCCACTGCCTAACTGTGCTCATGCCAATTGTTTGGTCTCTGTTTAGCAAGTATCAATAAATGTCAGTGGGAGCATTTTTTCTACATGGAGTAATTCAGTGATCTACCTCTGTTTCATATGCAAGTTTATGTCAGTTGATATTTTGCTAGTATTGTTGCTCAGTCGATATTTGTAGCAAAGCAAAAATAAATTATGGGTTATTAGCAGGAAGGTTAAATCTCTACTGCTATATTGAAAATATCTGCCTTGGACATCCTAAGCAATAGGAGGGA